AAGATGGAATTCACACCTCCTGACTAAATCTATTACAGAGCTACAGTAATCAAAATAGTGTAGTACTAGCATAATGACTCAACACATAGACTCTGACGGGTGTAGTGGTGCACACCTTTAATCCCAGTACTTGAGAGGTAGAGGCAGGCCAGACAGGGTTACATAGTAAGACTCAAAAAACCTAAACAAACAAAAACCAAGCCAACCAAACCAAACAAAACCAAAACCTGAACACTAAAAAGAAAAAAAATAAGCCAGGTGGTGATGGCACACTCCTTTAATCCCAGAACTCAGGAAATAGAGGCAGGCAGATCTCTAAGTTCAAGTCTAGCCTGGCCTATAGAGCAAGTTCCAGGACAGCCAGAGACACACAGAGAAACTCTGTTTCAAAACAAAACAGAACAAAATCCTGAATGAACAAGAATCTGCCAATCATTTCTTCAATATACCAAAAGCAACAAAAGAAAAAAAAGTTAAAATTTATTACTCTAAAAGTAGTAGAGTAATAAATTTAACTTCACTACAATTAAATACTCTTGGACTGGTGAGACAGCTCAGCAGGTTAAAGGCACTAGGCAAGCCTGACAACCTGAGTTCAATCCCTGCTATCTACAAGGTAGAAGGAAAGAACAAACTCTTTTTTGTTGTTGTTGCTTTGGAGACAATTTCACTATGTAGTCCTGGCTGTCCTCGAACTTGCTCTGTAGACCAGGCTGTTCTCAAATTCAGAGATCCACCTTCCTCTGCCTTGCAAGTGCTGGGATTAAAGGTGTGCAGGTATGCACCACCACCATCTGGTGAGAATGAGCTCTTACAAGTGTCCTCTGACTTCCATATGTGCCATGGCACAATGTGCGTACACACACACACACACACACACACACACACACACACACACAAATGTAATAAAAATTAAATACTTTGTGCAAAGGATAGAGAAGACAACTTTTAACTGGATAAAATATTAGCAAACTACTCTATTTGATAAGAATCTAGTATCTGAATATATGAACAAGTCTTATAATTTAGTAACAAAAGAGAGACACCCTATTTGAAAATGGCCAGTGTGGAGACATTTAAGAGAAAAGCTACAAATGGCAAATAGATGATATGTCAAATTTTTAGTTATTAAATAAAATTTTCAAATGTCATGAACCCACTTCACATCATCTAGGATGGCCATAAGAAGACAATAGAAAACACCATACATTGATAAGGCTGCAGAGAAATTGGAACTCAGATGCTACTAGCAGCAGTGTAGTTTGAAGATTTCTTAAGTTCAGAACAGAATCACCATGTATCTCAGCAGTTTCATTCTGTGTATATTCTCAAAAGATTGTGAAATAAGGAATTAAACAAGTGTTTATACAATCCCTAAAAAGTGGAAACAACCCAGATGCTTAACTACTTTCAATAGAGTATAGTATATATAACATATATGTATATGTAGATACATATATATGTAATTCAGTTATAAAAGGGAATGAATGCTTGACATGAATGAACCTTGAAAAACATGCTAAATGAAAGAAATCCAACATAAGTCACAGTTCCAGTGATGTAAGATATCTAAAGGAGGCAAATCCAGATGAAGAGGGGTTAGTGGTTTCTCGGGGCTGGGTAGAGAAGAAATGGAAAATAATTGCTCAATAACGGGTGCTGAGCTTCCTTCTGAGGTGATGAAAATGTTCCGAAACTGCAGGGTGATGATAACTGCACAACACTGAACACACTAAATGTCTCAACTGGATATTTTAAAATGGTTAGCCTGGTAAATTTTATGTTTATTTTACAATAGAAAATTAAAAACAAAGTTGAGAGATGTTATTATAGGAATTCGAGGGTGAAAAGATGGTTTTGTAGCTTGCAAAACTATTAAGTTCTAATGTGTCTAATAGTATACATTCTTATATTCTATAGCGAATAAAAAAGTTGTATAAAATAATTTTTTTACTGTGCTAGACATTATTTCTAAATTTTAACTATAAGTGGATAATTTGTCCACTCAAAAGGAAAAATACACTTTATTCTAATAGCAGGAAGAAAAAAATAATTGAACAAAGTATGTGATTTGAACCAGATAATTCCAATGTAAAACGACAGTTGGGTTTTTTTTTTCCGTTTTTCAGACAACTTGCACTATGCAGCCCTAGCTGGCCTGGAACTGACAAAGAGATCAATCTGCCTCTGCCTTCCAAGTGCTGGGATTAGTGGTGTGAGCCACCTACACTTGACCTAAAGCAAGGTTTTTGTAGGCAACTGGCAAAAATTCTTTAGTGAAGCTTTAGGAAAGGACATTTTATAAAGTGTAATTACACAAGGTCCCATAAACCCTTGGGTCCTTCCTCTTAAACTGGTTTGGCAATTTTATGTGAATGAGAGAATGAAATATGCAACATTTTCTATGTGCAACATTAAACAGTGTGGTTTTGAAAAAGACAAAAAGCATACAAATAATGATGTGTGGAACAAGACAGGGTAGCACACAGCTATAATTCCATCACTTAGAGCCCAAGGCAGGAAGATCACAAATTCAAGGCCAGCCTAGGAAACACAGCAAGACTCTTGTCTCAAAAAAAACATCGAGTAACATCTATGATGGTATGCTGTCCAGAACAGAAACGATTAACAGAATATCAGGCACTCTAACAAAATAAGCACCATCTCTTCTTCCAACTTCAACCTAAACTACTTCTATATTGACATTATGAAACTGCTGACTTTGAAAGTTTGACCAAAAAAATGTTTATACTTGAGCTTGATTTTTCTAAAGTGGCAATAATTGTCTACTTTGAGAATGCCGGGAATTTTACTATCTTTTTACTATAGCCTCCTCCACAGTGTCTCAAAACTACCAACAAAATAACGAAGAGAATGTATAAAAATAAGCGAATGTGAACTGTCAAATGTGAATTAAGGAAGTCATCAGGAAGATTTTGTTTTCTAGCTTTATGATTTTCTCACAATATTTGGAGTTTAAAGATCTTCCCCAAGAAACCTTTTTAAAATAAAAGTTTTATTGGAGAAAAATAGAACCACCACATACACAGGGGAATAAAAGCATAAAAATTCAACCGATACAGAACAACTGAAACTCACAATTATGCAATGTAGTTTGCCATTACTTTTCAGTTTCTTAACCAGCTTCCCTTAATAGTCTGGCTAGTTTTTCAGCTGAAACAGCATCAAATTTTCAAAGAATTAAGAACCCCAGAAAAGGGACCCATTCTCAAGATAAAGAATGTGGGATCAAGAACCTCCTAGTAGGAACAAGTCTACCTAAATATTCCTTAGATTAACTAGTGAGTGGTGTAATAGTCTCCATATCCCAGAGACCAACAAGGATTAATCAGAACACTGATGTTGACGGTCCAGTAAACATAACAGTCACATTTCCTTGTCAGAAGAGCTCCTGTAAGGAAATCGGAGAGGAGCTGGACAAAAATATACGAAATAGCTGCTCGAAAAGAATTGGGAAGCTAATTCTAAATATTAATATATAGTCAAACAGTGTGCAAGTTGATGCATTAGAGAAATGGGCAACTTAAAAAAATACAGAGAGCTGGCCACAGGTCTTTGAGAATTCAAGAGAACCATCAATAGTAGACATAGAGCCCCAAATCTCCTAAGCTGAAGGTTAAGGTCTAAGCAGTGCCCCTAACTGGCTCCAGAAAGACAAGGAAATATGCTGCTGGATAAAGCACTGAAGAAGTTCTAATTCAAAAGCAAACACTAAAACTGTCTGCTTCTTTCCCATAATCAATTCCCTTCATAGAAAAAAGAAACCAGGAAGCAAAGCAAAACCTCACATTTTGAATTTGAAGAACAATACTTTTGTTATTCTGTGTGTGTGTGAACAATTTGGGGACATTTCCCTGAAAAGCAGGTGTCCAGTGGCTATGAGAACTCTTAAATTCAAGCAATTAAAAAAAAAAAAAAAGAATACAGAACTTGACATTTTCAAATAAGGAGTGTGTAAGTGAGACAAGGGAGAACCATATGTAGAGTTTCTCCAAGTCAGGAGGTGGATGAAAGTAAAAGCTTTGTTTACCAACAAAGAGAAGAGATGCTTCAAAAAAAATAAAAAACCACTTCAGTAGAAAACACTGGAATGCAAATTGCAAATCCTAGGAAGCCTCTAACAGTTGACAATTGGCCCAAGTTAAAGACAAAATGATGCAAACAACATTTAAAGACTGAAGCATGATGAAATGTCGCTGGTGATTTTTGCTGAAATTTATAAAACAGGTTGATTTTGGTCTGTGATTTTCATACTGTATTCATTTTTAATAAAAAGAACTGGATTTCCCCCTCTTACTATGTCCTTCTAGTATGAGATGATCAGCAATTTTTCTATTTTATCTATTTTAATAAGTACCTGTTAATCAGCACAGTAAATTTGGGGCTAAGTCTTATGTACACATCCCATACTCATAAATGGAAAACTTTAGGATGTGAATATATAAGGTATTATGGAAGTAACTGTCACCCTACTTGAAAAACTTGTTTCCAAATAAGGTTTCTTAACCAATCCCTTCAGTGTAACAGAATGCCAACAGCAAAAACAACCTATTTTTCTTTTCAAGGGAAACCATAAAATGGGTGAACAACCAAGTCCAGGGTGGTTTTTCTATATGATAAATACATCCAGAACTCTGTACAGTAAATAAAGTTTGCATGCAGTTTAAGTATCTTTAAGTGACTTTTAAGCAAATAAACCTTTTGCTTCATTGATGATGTATAAGAATCCCCCTCCCCTCTTTAATGGCCATAGGGTTCTCTTCCCCTGTTCCAAAAGGAATCATGAAGACCGAGTACTTTCTTAAAGAGTTTTCTGCATATCATACTAAATAACATGCAAAGAGTTCAACAACATTCTTCTTAAAGGTTAAGTATTACTCTTTAAAATGGGCATGTTAACCACTGAGAAAAGTCCACGCAACTATTTCCATTACACTGCTTCATTTGGTCATTGGAAGTATAAAAGAAGTCAAATAATATGAGATTCAACAAGTTAGTTTATCCATTGGCTACAGCATATGACAACAAATGTTCCAAGGCTAACATTCTATGCAATATAGTTGTACTGATTTGGGTTTTCTTTATCTCTTTCCATGTAGTCCCGGTCAATTAGGGATTCTATTCTCTTCTTTAAATCTGCAGGCTGTAAAAGAAAACATATTTTCAATGCAAAGCTCATAATCAACATAAGCCCATCTGCCAACAACCCATCAAAAAAGAGAACAAAAGGCCCTAGGAGTCAGGCAGATCTCTGTGAGTTTGAGGCCAGCCTGGTCTATACATAGCAAGTTTCAGGACAGCCAGAGCTACACAGTGAAACACTGTGTTTAAAAAAAAAAAAGAGGAGGGAGCGTGAACAAAAGCAGGTGTGGTGGCACCTGACTATTACCCTAGTTCAGGAGGCTGAGATAGGAGGACCACAAGTTTGAGGGTAGACTGGACCTTGTCAGTCAGATCCTGTCTTAATCCCCCATCAAGATATTTGTTTACACACTACATATATATTATACTACCATACTCCTATCATATCATTATATAATATTTCCTACTAATTTATTTTTACTACATTTTTTGATTTATTTTTATGTATATGGGTGTTTGGCTTGCATGTTTGTCTGTGTACCACATGTTACCAGTATCCATGGAAGCCAGAAGAGGGTGTCAGATCCCCTGGAACTGGAGTTAAAGATGCATTAGCCATCATGGATACTAGGAATCAAACCCAGGTCCTCTATAAGTGAAGTCATTGCTCCTCTCCTTCCCTTCCCTCCCTCCCTCCCTCCCTCCTTCCTTCCTTCTTTTTGGTTTTTGAGACTGGGTTTCTCCAGCACCCACATCAGGTGGTTTGCAACTGCCCGTAACTCAAGCTCCATGTGGAGCTGACACATCTGTACACAAGTAAACACCCACATAGAGATACATAATTAAAAATAAAATCTTTTAAAAAATTATAGCCTTGCATGGATAATTAATTATACTGATCTCTTGAATGATAAAAAGCTACTATATTGTGTATATGGCCCATAAAAGTAATAAAAGCATTCTTTGGTATGAACAGGTAACTGGTTCTAGAACCCTGACATACCAAAATCTGCCAATGTTCAGTATTTGCATATAAATTCCTGCTATCTTCTAGTACAGTTTAAAATGATCTTGGCCAGGTGTATTGATACATGCTTACAATCCCAGCAATGGAGAATTTGAGGTAAGAGGATGACTTTTGAGGCCAGCCTGAGCTACACAGTCAGACCCTGATATAAAAAAATCAAATATTTCCACATCACTTACAATACTCAAAATTCTTATGCTGTTATTTATAGTTCAAATACAAACAAAACCAAAAGCCAAACAAATGAATTAGCTGGTTTTGTTTGTTTTTTGAGACAGGGTCTCTCTTTGTAGTCCTTGGTGTCCTAGAACTTACTACATAGACCAGGCTGGCCTCGAACTCAAGAGATCCACCTGCCTTTGCCTCCCCAGTGCCAGGATTAAAGGCGTTCAAAACTACACCCAGCCAGGTAATGCATTTTTTGTTTGTTTGGTTTAGTTTTGGTTTGTCAAGAGAGGGTTTCTCTGTATAACAGCCCTGGCTGTCCTGGAACCAGCTGGCCTTGAACTCACAGAGATCCACCTGCTTCTGCCTCCCAAGGGCTGGGATTAAGGGCATGCCCCACCACTGCCTGGGCTAGCTAATGCATTCTCAAAAGATGTTTTCAACCTTTGGTTTATTGAAGTCACAGATATGGAATCGATGGCTATGAAGGGCTGATTTCAAAGTCAGCCGTGGAACACAGTAAGACCCTAACGCAAAAACAAAAGATAAAACAAAGAAGAAAAATAGACAGGGAAGTAAAATTCCATTTAATAACTCCAAATGGCTTTGGCTTAGTAATGATCAAAGTATAGTGAGTGATCTCCATTCTAGCATTAGTAAGCACTCTTGCTGGAGGTGAAATGATTAGTTGAGCATGTGTGCAAGTGTGGTAATGAGGAGGCAGTTTGAGGTTTGAAGAAGCAACCTACCTTATTAAAAGTAATAGCTACTACATACTTACATACCAAACTTATTACTAAGTGTTTTATACTTCCCATCTCATTTAAGCCTCAAAATAATAGTACGAGCTAAGTATAATTATCAATTCCAAACAAGCTCAGCAAGATTAAATGACTTATTAAAGTCCAAAGCTGCTAGGAATCCTAACAGCCGGAGTCTATGCAACCTCTACCAAATGTTTCTTATTACAAAAGTTTAGAAATCATTTTAAAATTTGGAAAATAGTCCAGTACACTACCTTCTTGTCTAAACACCTTTATTACTGGACATTTGTATTGGAACAAGCCAATGTATTGACCAAGTTCAGTTTACTAGAACATATTGTTAAGACATTTTCAAAAGACACTAAAAGTCCTTTAGCACTAAGACCCACCCAGCAGCCTCTGTAACAGATTTGAGAAGACATTTATATAATGTAACTAAACAAGATATAAGTCAATTTAATAACGAAATATGTCAATTGTCAAGGTATCTACAGAAAAGTAAGACTCAAAAGATAGAGTGAATTCAAAAATTTCAAAGCCATATTTACTCAGTAAACTTTCAAGTACAGGGAGGAGCTTTTGTAAATTGTTTCCCCAATTTATCACAGTTGTATACATATACCAACAATATTCTTTTGTGAATCACATGTATGACTATAGGAAATAAATCTTGTTCCAAATGGCTTTATGCCTTTAATCTATATTTGCAAGATTAGTGTCTAAAATCTAATGTATTCTCTTTCATTTATAACAAGTCCCAGTATGGAGACACAGAAACACCTACTTTTACTGGAAATTTTAGCTGATTGTAGACCTCTGAAACAAGAAGATTGTGGCTAAGTGTTTTTCTCATCTTCATAATTCGGACAATCGCAGCATCAATTTGGTATTGTCTATCTTGAAATACTCTTTCTGTAGTGCTTGCTTGTTCTTCAACCTAAAAAAAGTTTTCAAACAAAGTCAATTATTAAGACAAACTGTACATCATGGACATAACAGTGTTGCTGTTCTAAAGGCACTGACTCATCTAAATGGGACCTTATAAATACAGACACAAGAAGAGGAAAAAACTTCACAAATATAGCTCCTTTCTGTTCTAATCATACTGCCCTGTACCAATAAAGCAATGCCTATAGAGGTTGACAGAAAAATACCACCTTTGAGGACACAGGAGATAGACTCAGTTGGTCAAGTGTCTGCCCTGCAAGTATGAGGACCTGGTTTTTAAATTTAATTTTCATGAACTCATGTAAAAACAGATAAACAGATTCCAGGAACTCAAAACCTAGCCGGCCAAGCCTATTAGTGAGTTCCAGGCAAGTATGAGACCACGGCAAGAAACAAGGTGGATAGCTCCAAAGGAATGACACTCGAGATTGTCCTCTGGCCTTCCCTAAAATTTAAAACGCTCACACTCATTGATCCAAATTTACTTCCATGAATTCATCTTAAGGAAAAGATTAGAGATTATGATTTAGGTACAGATTTTTTTAAATGGCCACATACAAGAATATTATGTAGCTATTTAGCATTGTGTTGATTTTTAAAATATGTGTGGGGGTATGTACATTGAGTGAGTGTGGTTGGGGATGTAAGAGGACAACCTTGGGCATCAGGTGCCTTTCACAAACAAATCAAAACACAACCAAACAACTTTAAATCATCTCTAGACTGACTATAATAAATAATACATCACAAATAGTTTATAGTTTTTTTTCAAGACAGGGTTTCTCTGTGTACTTTTGGACCTGTCCTGGAACTTGCTTTATAGACCAGGCTGGCCTTGAACTCACAGAGATCTGCCTGGCTCTGCCTCCCGAGTGCTGCGATTAAAGGCGTGCGCCACCACTACCCAGCTACAATTTTTTAATCTGTAAATTTCTACTATAAACACACATAAACCTAATACAGTAGGACAAGAGAGCAAAAGGTTTACCGTTTCTTTCATTTGGATTTGATTGATCTTTATCCTGAATAGTTTGTGTTTGAAGTCGTCATTACAAATGAATTTGTCACCATCTTCAATATCTTTGCCCTTTGGATTTTTAGCCAGAACTCTAGCTTTGCCACAGGCTAGTGACTGCAGTGTTCTCCTTAATTCTCCATCCTCTGAAGAAGTAATGGTTAGTCATTTGTTAGTAGCATGCAGAACACTACATCCAACATCAATTTGATTTCTACACATTCTCTATTAAACTGTGTCTTTTTTCCCAAGGTCATCAACACCTGCTCTTGGTGCTATCCAATAACAGTTTTTTTTCTAGTTGTCTTCTAAAAGCATTGTCACCCCATGCAGACAACTACTAAAACTTCTGATGCAACATTTCACTTCTCTCAAGTCAATCACTAAAAGGACACTCCACATTGTAGATGGAAGTTTCTGTCCCACCTGGTCCTGCAGCTGTTCAGTCTCAAATAAACACACAAAGGCTTATACTAATTAGAAACCGTTTGGACTATTGCTCAGGCTTATAACTAACTAGCTCTTATGCTTAAATTAACCCATAATTCTTGCCTATGTTTAGATATGTGGTTTGGTATCTTTTCTCAGTTCAGCATTCTTATCTTACTTCCTCTCCATCTGGCTGGAGACCCCGTTTCTCCTTTTCTCTTCCCAGCCTTCAACTAGTCTGGTCACCCCACTTAACACCTCCTGCCTGGCTACTGGCCAATCATCATTTTTATTAAACCCATAGGAGTGACAAATCTTTACAGCATACAAGAGCATTATCCCACACCAACACTTGGCTGTTTTATTATCATTCCAGTATGTTTTATTCTCCATTAACCCTCACTTCATTGTTAATGATGATAATACTACTAACCTAATCCAATGAACACCCTAGAATTATCTTTTAAGTTTTCCTTCTCCTTCATTCCACTATGGCTGTAGTAACTCCATTGCTGTTGGAATCATTTTACCAGAAGCCCATTCGGACTTTATGTCAGAATTATCTCTATAGTTTCTAGACTAGAATGTTTTGCTGTTCCAGGTGGCTGGCCCTATCAATGCCAGGAGTTGTTCAAATAGGTTATTTCCTTTAAGTCATATGTTTTGAGTCACTATAGCAGAGGCTTCAGCTGTATCCATCAGTCTATCTATATATCTTACCTATTGGATTCTATAGCTCACCATTCTAAGCTACCAACTTTTTATACTTCCTACCCACACCACCCAAGCCTTTCTCACACTATTTCCTTTATTTCATATGCCTTCTCTCCAACCAAAATTTGAAGGCCCAACTCAAGTCCCACTCCTTCCACAATGATCTCTTGCTTAACATACTTCTTGTTAGAACTATATACTGGTACTTACTGGTTTTGAAATTGCTAAGAATACAGAGGAAGGGGCTGGAGAGACATCTCACCATTGAAGAGTACTTTCTGGTCTTTCAGAGGACCAGATAGATACCAGTTTCCAGCACCTACATGGTGATACACAACTCAAGTTCCAGGGGATACAATGCCCCCTTCTGGCCTCAACAGGTTCCTACCCATGCAGGCTCATAACATAAACATAAATAAATGAATGAATCTTTAAAAAAAAAAAGAGTACAGAGGAAAGGATTACTTCCTTGTATCACCCAGAGCTCTGAACACAGTGACTGCACAGAGTAGAGAACTACAATTGCTTGATATTGACAGATGCAATACAAACCTATCCCAGTAGCTTGCTTAATCTCTTCTAAACTGAATTCCTCCCCTTCATTAAACATTAGCAGCACCAGGGTTTGAAAAAGAGAGACCTGAAGTTCTTTTTTGCCCTGTTAAGAGAAAAAGCAGAGGTTAGCCTAGTTTAAAAAAAATGAAAAATTAATAAAAAAAATCTCTTCTAGGAAAAGCATTTTTAATTAGTTAGTTAAGAAGCACAGATTAACATTATCCAAAACTCTGCTTCAGGTGGCAATAAAATGTACAGTTTGAGGTTGGTTTAGATATGATTCCACAAAAAATGAGGTGAAGGATTAGTTAGCCTATTAATAGCTTTTTTAAAATAATCCTTATTAAAACAGAATAAAGTAATGGAAATAACTCAGTCCCTGTGTATCAATATAAATATTCATCATTAAGCAGCAAGAAATTACTACTCTGAGTGCATTTTTTCAGACAGGGTTTCATGTAGTCCAGACTAGACTTACTTGCTATTTAGCCAAGTATGTCCTTGAACTCTCAATCTTCCTGCCTCTATCTTCCAAGGATTACAACCCTGTGCCACTATGCCTCACTTTCAAATGTATTTTGACTTTGTTAAGATCAGTAATGAAGAGCTGTAGGAATTTTTTTAAAATTGCCTTATCTCTCACTCTGTTCTCTAGCTTCCAGTAACATGATTTCTGACAAGACAGTGTGAACTCTGCATCCACAAGTAGAGAAAGACTATTGTTTTCAATTTTAGAGAAGGCCAACTCAATTGTTGAAAAGGTGACCATCTTAAAAAACACAAAGCTAAAAAAAAAAAAAAACACAAAGCTGTAACAAGCTACCACTGTTGCCAAGTGGTGTCAAGGCCACACTTAGAAAACAGCAGCTTGAACCTTCAAAATAAGCGTCTTGACTTCCATAAAAGATGAAGGCAGAAATTAAGTTTTGGGAATATCACTTACCTCTTTAAATTCAGCTTTTAGCACACAGTGTCCCAAAGTTGACTGCCACTGGAGTTTCCTGCCACTGTGTTTGCCTAAGTAAAATGTCTTGAAAATTTCCTGAAGCTTTACCATCTACAGCAAATAAAAGAAGTGTTTCTTTAAGCTGCATATGCAAGAGCACCTTCAGAGGTTTTTTACTCATTTATTGGATCATGAGGTGGAGTGTACACGCCACAGGATGCTCAGGAAGGTCAGAGGACAACTTTCAGGAGTTAGTTCCCTCCTCCCGCTTTGTGGGCCCTGGGGATTGAACTTCAGAGTTCAAGCTCTGGGTGTTAGGTGCCTTCACCCCTAGGCAACCTCCATGACCTCCCTCTCACCACTCATATTTAAGAAATTTTTCCCCTGTGAGCGCCTTTCACAGGCCCCTGTCTGTCCCTTAAGGTTTGGATTCTCTTTGTGTGTTGCTGTGTGAAGACATTTGGAACTTCTGTCGACCAGGAATTACTCATCTGGTGAACTCAAATGTGCAGCACTATTCTGGATTGAGTGGCAAGTGCTACTAAATTTGAGTTTCCCCTGTGAGCACCATTCACAGGCCCCTGTCTGTCCCTTAATTAAGGTTTGAACTCTCCTTCTATAGTGTTCACTTACTATCAATATATTAGATGGGAGGGGGTACTAATATATGCAAACTCTAGGTACAGTGGGAACTCCAGGCTTAGAGAACTAAGTGGTCAATTTCAGCTTTATAGACTTACTAAAATTTAAACTTTTTTTTTTTTCCCGAGACAGGGTGGTTTCTCTGTGTAGCTTTACGCCTTTCCTGGGACTCACTTGATAGCCCAGGCTGGCCTCGAACTCACAGAGATCCGCCTGGCTCTGCCTCCCGAGTGCTAAAATTTAAACTTTTATGTGTCTGCAGCACGAGCATGAATCCAGATGAAGGCATCAGATCCCCTGGATGTGGGTGATTTTTAATTCTAATGTTGGCAATTTTGGGTTTCCACATTTTAACTCAGTAAAGATCAATAAAATCTGGTTCTTTTGGCAAAAAAAAAAATTTATTCATGTATTTTTTTAGGTATGAGTACTCTGTCTGCATGATAGAGAGAGCTTCAGATCCCATTATAGATGGTTGTGAGCCACCATGTGGTTGCTGGGAATTGAACTCAGGAACTTGGGAAGAACTGCCAGTGCTCTTAACTGCTTAGTCATCTCTCCAGCCCCCTCTCACCATTCTTAACCCCATCTAAAGTAACTTCTGATAGCTTTCATGATTATCCAGTAGGTATCAATCTCTTTAATATAAGGTCAAAATCTCCCCAATGTAACAGCGCTTGGTGATCTTTACACTCTTTTTAGCTCTTCTGCACTATTTAATCATTCCTTCACCTCTGGTGACTTGGGCTTCTATATTCTACTGACTCCTTTCTCTTACTGCTGCTTCTGCCCAAGTTTCTTTAGTAGGTTCCTCTTCTTACCATCTGCTAAATGTGAGCCTTTCTAAAGTTTGAGCTCCACCCTTTCCCTTCAACTTCACCATATTCTTTCCTTAGGACACTTTCCATAGAGGACTCTCAGTATCTTTCTTTATTCAACCTTCTAGGTTTTGGTCCTGAGTGGAATTGTTTCCAGCGCATTAAGGGATACTCATGTATCATATTTACCAGTCCTGCCTTCAGGTGAAATATGTACAATATTTTTTTTGACAGCTAAGATTATTATTAAGAGGTTCTAAGTTAGAAATAGAAGAATAATTGGGGAAAATAGGACTAAATTTAGAGACCTACCTTCATTAATATGTTCAAGTGGACTTGAAAGTTGAAGTAAAAGAATAAAATATTAACACTCATTTTGTTGGTATGTTTGCTGACATAAGCCTTTAAAAGGCATATATTTTCAAATGAAAAGCAGAAAAAAGTGTGATTTCTATGCCTATAGCTTAGGTCTGAAACAGTTAATCTTACCTCTGGTGGCAAATGGACTTCCATAGGCACATATGTTGGCCAGTAACCCATTGTCAGGATATTCACAGTTAATTCAATATTGCCAGGTACATTCTGGTTCTGCATATACTATAAAAAGATCAATATACACACTGAGATTACAAAAGTATATACATCATACCATAATTAATTGACTCATTTAAGAATTTCCTTATTCTAAAAATATATGTGAATACTAACCATCCTGAAAATAAAGGCAACTAACTATTGAGACTTGAAATGAAGGTTACACAAAATGCAGTAGACAAATACACAAGTGGCTATTTTGATACAGTGGCATACAAAAATGCCATTAAAACATCCTAGGCATCTTCTCACAAAAGCTGGGGCTGTTATAGCATCTCTTCTCCATTCTTTTCCCCCAATGCTACCTGTAGTCCCCACCTTTGGAGGCCCCTACATGGATTGAACACCTTGCAGCAACTCCCATTCCTCACCCCACCAGCCAGCCCAAGTCTCTGGTTTTTCAACTGCTCCATTCCCTGTTTGAAGGTGGTAACCTGAAGTGGGAAAGGAAGAAGGGGAAAGGGCAAGGCAGGCAATTCCTACTCTGCAGCTACTGTAAGATCCATGATCCTACTGACTCTGAACTTTCTCGATCAAGTCCTTCAGTTCCGTTTACCACCTTCAATACAGTGGTCAAAAAGTCATTACTGAAACTCTCAGAGTGTAAAATCTAATTTGCCATCACTATTGTCTAGTTCTTACTACTACTGCTGTCTGAGACAGGGTCTCACTCTACTGCCCATATATCATTATTTCAGCATCCAAAGTAGCTGAGACTGCAGTTATAAAAACTACATCTGGTTATATTCTTAAAATATTTTAAAACAAAAAAAATATTTTACAACAACCTGCTATCCATGTCTTCAAAACTACAGTTCCAGCTTCTCATCTCAAATGTCCCCACAGATATTATATACCACTCTCCACCTTTTATCACCTCACCTCTCTCCCATTACAAGCTCTGAACATGCAAATCCTCCAACCTTGATTAGATGTCAAAAAAAGCCCTGATCATACTGTCTAACTATAATTCTTCTTACACTAACTTTAGTCTAATACATTTTACTTATATTTCTGTCTTATTCTAGGTGTTTATTAAGACTAAATCCTCAAGTAGGTCAAATGTATTTACATTTCATTGATGACATTTTTCTTCTACTGTACCCTTTAAGTTGCTATGAAGTTATTTGTAACAAATATGTTTCTATTTATCCTCTTCAATATGGACCGCCACAAAGGCATAACTTAAATATCCTTAAGTTCAAGGAATTAAGTAAGAGTTTAACTCACTTTTACCTGTTTGAAGTGAATCATGATGTCTTTGGAAAGCTCCATGTCTTTAAACATCCCTTCAAGCTTGCTGGTGAATGCAGCTCCACATTCTATTGAAGATGTTTGTATATTTATAATATTTCAAGATAGTACAAAGTATTTAAAAATCAGAAAATAAAATGCAAATCTTACTTGGGCATAAAATATGATCTGTAACTACTGGTAAGAACGAAAATAAATTCTTACCTCCCAGTATGTGCCCTACTAATTCAGAGGCAAACTCTTTAATCCTATAGCAACCTTATCTACTTTCAAGTATATTTGGGAACTTTTTATACAAATAAACAGAAGAATAATTCTTTATCTTTAAAAAAAAGCCAACAATTGTGGACATCAACAAGAGGCTAGGACCTTCATAAACTCACTTAACTTATGTGTGTGTGTGTGTGTGTGTGTGTGTGTGTGTGTGTGTGTGTGTGTGTTAGAGGGTCAGGGAATGTGTGTATAGGTGTGTGCACCCATTCATGCATATAGAAGCCAGAGGACATTGGCTATACTGCTCTACCACACTCTACCTTATTCTTTTTGAAACAGGATCTCTTACTGAACCTAGCTAGGCTGGCATCCTGGAAGCCCCAAAGATCCTCCTCTCACCCAACCTCTAGTCACTGGGGTTATACATACACATGAGTGTATGGAGATTTCAACTCTGGTCCTCATGCTTGTGCAGCAAGAGCTGAGCCCATCCTCCCCATCCCCTCAGTTTATGTTTTTATGCATATCATCATGTATACATGAAATGATTGACAAAAAAGCAATCAATGAAAATAGTACAATTAACCCAACATTTCTCTCAAATACTAAAGAAAGGCAAAATTGAAATAATAAAAGAGAAAAGAGAACGGCAAACATACCATGTTTCAGTTTGGACAGCATTGATTTTTCAGCATCTACAGATGCACTCTTGCCAACTAATAGGCGTTTGGCTAAATCTTTCTTATAGAAGGCCTCAAAAACATCTTTGCCTATATTAAATAAAAATATAACACTCATGATATGCCAAGTAAAGTTGTAACAAAATGGCTTCAAAAAGCTTAATCATAGCACCTCAAGTTATTTTACTTTATACATTTTATCCAAGTTTATTAAACTCAAGACACTGGAGGTCTACGTCTGTGCCAGACATTTCAAAAGTTCAAAAAATTAAGACTGTATTATTAACTTTTCTTCAGAAAAAAAATTTAGTACACTGGTCCTGTTAGCACCAAAACCCAAGAGATTAAAACAAGCAGCAAAATCCCAGGTTCTTAATAGTGGAAAGGTCAAAGCACAAGGCAATTTAGTTACATTCCTCAACTATTTTTCCCCCCTTCGGTTTTTTTTTTTTTTTTTTTTTGGTTTTTCGAGACAGGGTTTCTCTGTGTAGCTTTGCGCCTTTCCTGGAACTCACTTGGTAGCCCAGACTGGCCTCGAACTCACAGAGATCCGCCTGGCTCTGCCTCCCGAGTGCTGGGATTAAAGGCGTGCGCCACCACCGCCCGGCCCCCCTTCGGTTTTTTGAGACAGAATTTCTCTGTTTAACAGCCTTTGCTGTCCTGGATCTTGCTCTGCAGACCAGGCTGTCCTTGAACTCACAGAGATCCACCTGCTCTGCCTCCTGAGAGCTGGGAATAAAGGCGTGCACCACCACCATCCAGCTTATGCAACTATTCTTAAGGAATTAAAAATATACAATGACTAAAATGTAACCTCTAGTTCTCTAACAGTCTCTCCAGGTTATTATACAAACGTCTCAAATTCCTCTAGGAGCGCTTTATTTGTCTTGACACAAGTCCTTGCTACGTTGACTTAGTTGGCCCGAGATACTCACTATGTAATCTATACAGCAATGCTGCCTCGGTCTCCTGAATTCTAGACTTCAGGTATCTCTACCACTATGCCTAGCTCAGAGTGCTTTGTCTTAAAAGAAAAACATGAAAGCAGTAATCAACACTTACCATAGATAAATCTAAATATAATCATTATTTTATCCAACATTTTCTCAAGCTCTTCATCTGTAGCTTCTTTGTTGCCTGCACGAAGTTTTGAATCCACATACTTCGCTAAAATAAAGAAAAAGCATTATTGTTTAGTGACCATGGGTGTCTAAAAGGTACTAACTACACATACCCAAACAAGACTATAAAATATTCTTTAGTATTTCTGCTATATGTACATGCATTTTATAAGTCTTCAATACAAGGAAGATCACGTTAACTTGTCAATGTCACGGGGCTAATAAATACCACAACCTGAAAGCATTAAGTCTGACTCCAGAGTATACTTGCTGGTATAATGATATCAAAATGGGGTATTGAAGGGCTACATAATGTAGCTCTATGGTAGAGTACTTGCCTAGCATGTACAGGGCTGTGGGTTCAAACCCTAGTATTTCATAGTTAAAAAAAAAAGAAATAAAGAAAAATATAAAACGAGGTACAGACAAGCTCATGGTAGAGGTTCCAAGTAGCTCTGTGTAGGGTTAAACAAAGTCATTAGAAACATGGGTATCCTCTCAAGTTTCTAATTTACATAGAGCATTCTTAAACATTACTTTTCTATTTGAATAGACCAGAAACTATAGAGCAAAAGGCACAATTTATAAACTGTTTCAATGCAAACAAAATTAGACTTCAACCAAACCCGACTTCATCCTTTTGGCAGAGGACCTAGTTTCGTACGGTACTAGTGCATGTGTAAGGAATCGTGAGAAGCAGTGCAACACACCTGTATATTCACTGAGCCTATATTATTAGATTTATTTTCATCCTGGACTTTTTATTCGTTGTCATTGGAAATTTCATGCTGTCCTTTTCCTGTAGCTGTAACTGGAGACCTTTAGAAAATAGTACTCTGTACCAGTTCTAAATCACTACAGGCTTAGAAAGCACAGAATCAAGCTTGCTCATTTAGAGGGCCAATATCCTAGTTCACAAAGAATTTATATCATGTTTAACATGAAGGCTTTGTGAAGTTGTTTAGCTTGAAGGAATTTACAACTTACATCTACTACATCCTTAGAGACACTTTCAGACTTGGTATTACTAGCTAAGCAACATCAAACAAACAAGACAGAGGTATAATAGGGTTTTGCCTCAGAGTTTATCAATAAATGAACATTATAAAACCAAAAAAGAATATGAAACATACCTATCAGCTCAGCTGGTTTATTTGGTCTTTTATTAATGAATGTTTCAAATGCTTCTTTCATAGCATTGATAAATTTTTCATTTTTCATAAAGCAGGTATCAATTATATGGTCAACTTTATCTTTAAAGTCCAACAATTCTTGAACCATGGTTTTATCTTTTTCAGGATTAATAACAATAGTACTTCCAAAAGCCTGAAAATGAAAACGTTATAATGAAAATAATCATCAAATCATATTCTAAAGTTGGCACATATATTTAACAATCATAAAAAGGTATAGCTGTTTCTGAAGGAAAAATGGAAAAAACAAAACAGATAATATTCCCTCCTAAACACAAAAATGAATGACCATTGGGTACACAATATCCTAATGGGGTGTTATTAGAAGACTCTAGAAGCTTTTTCTTATTGTTAAGGAAGTAGGGTCTGTACTTTTAAAAACAGGAATGTGGTGAGGAAAGGAGGGAGGGAAAGAAGCATTTGTACTTCAAACTTGGAAGAATAGACTCTAGATTTTATCTTAACTAAATGGCAGCAGAATGCTAACAATCCTTTAATTTCCCATATTCACTGAAGTCTTAGAGCTAGAAATCCCATCAAACATCACTCAAGTTTTATTGCTGACATGCCACACAGCTACATCTCAGGCTGATATTTCAAATTTTTTATTTTTTAAAATTCCTTCCTTAAAAAATGCATCTATAAGAAATGCTGATGTTCTTGACATGTAGATTACAAAACATTCAGGAGTAAAATCAAAAGGTAAACTGTTAATACCTTGATATACTCAATCCATTGTTGTAAGAGAACCTGAACTCCACCTCGAACTCTACTGAAGAGCTGATACAGGAGAGACAAATCTTCAATTCTGTTTTCATCAAGGAGGTTATTTAAACCTGGTTTAAAATATTTTGGCATTAAAATAGGAGAATCAAAAAGTGAATAAAATGGCCATGCATTTTAATAAAACAAATGTAAGTAGAAATTACTATTGTGATACGCTGGTCTAAACTAAAACTAAAATTTATGTGAATGTATCCTGTAAGAACACTAAGGTTTTAGAAGTTCTTGGCTCTACATGCTAAGAAAACACACACACACACACACACACACACACACACACACACACACACACACACAAAGGAATACTTTCCGTTACTGTTTTCTTACATGTCCAAATTCCCATTGTTTCTATTTTGGGTCTGTAGTACTAAGGATGAACCTAGGGCAACTCACATACACTAAAATGTTCTATGGCTGACCCACTCCACCCAGTCCAATTTCTTGACTGGTATTAGTCAGCAGAACTCTCTTCTTAGTTTTACTTTCAGTCAAGAAACTGGCAACTACAGAAAATTTAGGACAATGAACAGGGGAAAGAGTTGTCAGTCTTCAGAAATGAACTACATGCTTATCAAGTTTTAGTTTTTCTTCATTAAACTTTTTTTGAATGGGTCTCAATATTCTTTGACAAACTTTTGGTCAAGCTGTTTTCATAAAATGATTTTAAAGCACTAAAAACTTAAAACTACACACTAAACAAGCCACAAAACATCCTCCTTTGCCGGGCGGTGGTGGCGCACGCCTTTAATCCCAGCACTCGGGAGGCAGAGCCAGGCGGATCTCTGTGAGTTCGAGGCCAGCCTGGACTACAGAGTGAGTTCCAGGAAAGGCGCAACACTACACAGAGAAACCCTGTCTCGAAAAACCAAAAAAAAAAAAACAAAAAAACAAACAAAAAAAAAAAACATCCTCCTTTACTTCTGATGCTTTTATGATGCTTAGCTATCAATAAGCAGTTTTCGCTACTAATCTTAAATGGCCAACTGAGACAAACAGTTCTGAGACCATTCTTCCACCACTGATTAAGACTAGGGAAATAGAGGCAGGTGAACCTGTGTGAGTTTGAGGCCAGCCTGGTCTACAAATTAAGTTCCAGGACAGCCAGGGCTACACAGAGAAACCCTGTCTTGAAAAACAAAAAAACAAAACACACATACAAAAAAACCTAAGACAGCACATGTTAGGGATAATATTCATTTAAACTTGAACTTTGAGCAGACTTGATGGTGACCTATCTAGTTTTTTTCATTTTGATTTTATTTTTTATGTGTTCGAGTGTTTTTCCTGCATGTATGTGCAATGGGAATGCCTGGTGACCAGGGAGGATAGCAGAGAGTATTTGATCCCCTGAAACTGGAATTTTGGATGGTTTTGAGTCACCATGTGGGTGCTGGGAATTGCCCTTGGGTCCTCTGCAAGAGCAACAAGTGCCCTTATCCACTGAGCCATCTCTGCAGCCCTAGTAATCTTTTATTTACAAATTGCCATTACCTTTCTGAAGAATTGCTGTTAAGTGTTCACCTAGAAGTTGTTTCTCAACAGAAGCAATTAGTGACTTCCTAAAAGGGGAGAAGAGAAAATTATTGATACAACCTTTCTGAAAATTTAAAGCTTCTAGAGAAAACAAACCAAATATTTCATTTTACATTGTTTGCCATTTCCATCCTATGTGTCAATTTAATAGTGTTCAAGATTTATTCTACATTATGACTAAAGGAAAAAAACTAGTGTGTATTTCAGAATTTACTCAAAGTAATGATCTCCAAGGTCTTGCTCTGCCTCGCTTTTTCTACGTTCCTCTGCTTTTTACTAAGAAGGTAAAACAGTTATCTATGCTGCTTAAAGGAACTACTTAGTTAGTGAGATTTAAAAAGTACAGAAGTAGCTTCTCTCTGAACACCCACTTACTAAGTTTTAATCAATATAAAGATTTTAAAAGCTGGGCATGGTGGTGCATGCCTATAATCCTAGAACTTGGGAGGCTGGCATTGGAGGATCGTGAGTTCCAGGGCAGCCTGGGTTTTAGTGAAACTCTGCATCAAAACACCAAAATAATTTTAAAGATCAATCTCTAGTACTATTTTAAAATTATATACTAAACACACACCCAACCAATAATCAAATCCTTGATTAAATCTAATTAGCTGGGGAAGATAATAACTTGAAGTTCACATTATGAAAACAACTGTTAAAGACTAAATCAGACTTGAATATTGTTACCAACAGTTTTAAGACTATTAGGCTGCGCATGTAATACTTACTGGGTGGTCTGATCTAAGTAAGTAATAAGTCTGTCTGCTTCTTCTTCTAGGCGTTTATTAACATGATGAAGATACTCAGGAACCTACAAAGATAGTTTTTTATATTATTGTTTTCCTCCCCTTAAATAACTCAGAAAATGTCAAGTCCAAAAGATCCGGGGAGCAGCCCCGTCAAATGTGACAGGGTAGAATCATATGTAAAATTAGAGGTAGAGTTTATGATCCAGAATTCTGGCCTTTAAGAAGAGAGAAAAGAAAGTAGCACCTAAGTGAGAGAAGAGCATTACAATGTTGGGAATATAAATACAAAGGGAAGTTTGTGTTCTACAGGTAATGTGTATTGTAAGAGATAGTAGATTTATTAATCATGATTTTTAAATACCTCTCTTTCTTGCATTAACTTTTGACCTTCAGCTGCATAAAGTCGGTTAGTTTCCTCCAAAAATCGTTGTTCAAAAGAGTCTTGGTAAATCTAGGAGGAGGGAAAAAACCAAAAGTATTTGTTAAATATTTATTGACTATCCTCCATCTGAACTCTATATGAACAGCACTCTGACTGGATTTCAAACATCAAACTAGGAACAGTATTCACATTTGTAGGCAGTACAGTGAGTGAGTGTTAAGTGAAACTTACTTGCAAATCAGACAGCATACTTAAAAGGCTTCGAAGTAAACTTCTATCAATTGCTTCGCCATTCCGCTCTCTCTCAATCAAGAGAAGGATGCCATCGATTGTTTTCGTCTGGACTTTCTGATCACTTATAATATGAGCCCTAAATAACTCTAGTCCCATGTCCCTAAAATTAAAAACAAGTAAGTATCATCTAAACTGGCAATACCACATCTGAACAGGCTTAGTTAACTTATCACATATTAACTAGAGCCCCAGACTTTGAAGTAGTGATTATAAAAGGATAAAAATCCACATTTAATTTTGAATAACATTATTAAAGCATACAGGAAACTCATTTTCTCTTTAATGAGAACTGAAACTGAATTCCTAGCTTCCTCCATAACTTGGTTTTAGTCTCTTATTTCCTCTGGTGGCTATCTTTTCTTAGTTCAAAGACATAAAATAATTTTCACTATACTGACATTGAGTAGTTTACTTGGTCATTTATTAACTGGCTTCAGAACTCCAAAATCAATGAATTTCAATCATTACTGAAGGTATATGCTAAGCACCTGGTGAGGGACCAATTCATCATATTTTATTTTCAAGAACAAACAGACATTTCAGTATATAGTTACATGAAAAAAGAACGAAACCTTAATGATCAGCACCAACAAGATTCAGGCACAGAAATTCTACAGTAAACTTTAATCCTCATACATAACATAGAAAATTCTTCATACACTATGAGGGAAAGTTAGCTTTCTGCTATATTAGTTAGGGAAAAAATCTAGAACCCAAATGTGAATTTTTAGAATATTCTGAGTACATCTCATTCTCTTTCATTATAATAATTAAGACTATGATATATAACAAAAACTTTCATAATACTTTTCTGGCATCCTTACCAAATGGAGGGTAGCATTGAATTCTGAAGAACGTAAGTTCTATCCAGAAACAAAAAAATGCTCCTGATCATTATCTGTCAAAAAAAAAAATCAAGCAATTTTTGTAATTTTGAAACTGTAATATTAGCTCTTAATGAGAATTTGAAAGATTTTACACTAAATAAACTACTAGGATCCAACATGCAAATAAATACATCTAGCTGAGAATATGTCCCATATATTTATCTTTAAACTATTGTATTAATCCTTCTTGTGGTTTCTAGAAAACAGAAATTTAAGATGGTCCTCTGATGTCTTTGCTACTTATGAAGTAACTGAGAAGGGAAACAGGAGGCAGTCATGGGGTGCATGCCTGCAAATCCAGCACTCAAGAGGCTAAGGCAGGACGATCTTGAGTTTCAGGCCAGTCTGTGCTTCACAGCGAGATCCTATCTCAGAAAAAAAAAAAAGGAATCCTAGGTACACTTACTTCTTCCTCAGTAGCAATGCTAGGGGGTAAAGCTGTCTTAAACTGCACTCATGGCATTTAGTTGGTGGGAAGTGGATTTAAAGGTTTCTATTTGCATTAGAATAAACTAATACCAGACTAGGGAGGATAAAGAAATGCACCATCTAAATAAACTAAAATACCAGCAACCAAATAATATATGGGGATATTACCAATAAGACTAATAGAGGAAGATGCAACTTTAATGAGAAATAATTTGGGGTCAATAGTTCAGAAAAAAAAAGAAAAAGAAAGGAAGTCAAGTATGATGGCTGATGCATGTAATCCCCAACTCTCAGGAGGTTGAGGCAGTGGGATTGCTATGAATCTGAGATTGGCATGAGCTGTATAGTAAGCTCAAGCTAGTCGAGATAGAGAGTAAGACCCAATCTCAACACAAAAACTGCCATCAACTACAACAAAGACTCTAGAATGGAAATCATTCTGAAATGCTGGTTTACTTATAATTTTCAGTTTTAAAGTAAAAATCCAACCAAAATTAGTTTCCAATTTAGAAAAAGAACAATTATAGAGAGCTTCCCTATTACAAAACTTGTTTTTAATTATTGTGTATTACTTTTATTATGTATTACATAAAGCAATGAGTTTCATTATACCACTTTCATATATGTATATCAATTATATTATTTCATATTATTTATTTCATTGTATCATTTTCATATATAAATATTACAAAGCTTTTATTTTATTCACCTATATCTTCTGTGACAAGGTCTTGATATATAGCCCAGGCTGGCCTACAGTGTATAATGCTTCTGTCTCAGCCTCCCAAGTGTTGGAACTCCAATTGTGTGCTGCCACATCTGGCTATAAAGTTTTGTTGCTATTACTATATAGTGCTCAGGATATACCCAAGGTATCACTCAGGCTAAGCTAGTGCTTTACTACTCTGCTACACAGTAATTCCCAAAAAAAGCTGTCAAAACATTCTAGTGACTGAACTTGTTTGAAATGAAGTATGTAGTGCTATTTCTAACTTACCATTTGCCTACAATGATTTTGCCAGCATTTATCAATCTTTTTTAGAAAAAGAACACTATCCAATGAATCCCTGAGATAGATGTTAAGGATATTTTAAAGTGTTTCATACATGTAATATCTTTTGTCTTATTATTTGTGTTAAATACAGAATACTCATATAATAAATGAAATTAAATGACATTATAAGACATAATTCGATTTCTTAAACTACAGAAACAAATTAGATTCCCCCTTAACCTGCCTTTAAATCTAGTCTTTTTTTTTTTTTTTTTTTTTTTGGTTTTTCGAGACAGGGTTTCTCTGTGTTGCTTTGCGCCTTTCCTGGAACTCGCTTTGGAGACCAGGCTGGCCTCGAACTCACAGAGATCCGCCTGGCTCTGCCTCCCGAGTGCTGGGATTAAAGGCGTGCGCCACCACCGCCCGGCTAAATCTAGCCTTAAACACAACTGAACATGGTGTTTTCTGTTTAAGATTATCTTCAAATGGAAATCCGCCAGAACAGAAGGTTAACAACAAGAAATTTTTACTTAATACCACACTTGTAGATGTTGACCCTAATTAAAACTGAAAAATTGGCCGGGCGGTGGTGGTGCACACCTTTAATCTCAGCACTTGGGAGGCAGAGCCAGGCAGATCTCTGTGAGTTCGAGGCAAGCCTGGTCTACGGAGCGAGATCCAGGACAGGCACCAAAAGTACACAGAGAAACCCTGTTTCGAAAAACCAAAAAAAAAAAAAAAAAAAAAACTGAAAAATTTCAAAACTTTGTTTTTTCCTTTAGAAATAACAGAACAAAAATAATCTACCAAACATAGGCATTTAACTTCCAATAGAGCTAAGCAAGAAAAAACAAAAATGAAGATATTGTTTTGAAAAGGATATTCTCTGAATTGATGAATCTGTGCTTTAATGTGATCTTCACAGATCTGTCTCAGCTGCTTATACAAATTTGCAGAAATTTTGTAAGAACAAAGGTTTTCTACAGCCTGCAAGATAGAACACATAAATTCATTAGGACAGGATAGAGTAGGAGAAGGGGTCTCAATAAGCACATGAAGTCATTATTTTGTTATATGATATATCAGCTCATTGAAAATGAGTTATTTGTCCATTTAAAAAAAATGAAAGCATGGCATTAACCTAAGGGGCCGAGGCAGGAGAAACAGACGTTTGAAGCCAGCCTGAAAAACCTTAGTGTCTCTCTCTCTCTCTCTCTCTCTCTCTCTCTCTCTCACACACACACACACACACACACACACACACACACACACACACACACACACACACACCCCTTCCAAAATAGATACAAAGTAAAACAAGAAAATATACCAATGTGGGTGAAAATTTTTTTAATACCAATGTACTATACAAAAAAGTCCACATTTGTATGTTTATGATGGCTATACTAAAAGTTAAGGATAAAGGGAATCAAGTCAAATTCTACCCTGTGAGGATATCCAATTCAGAACTACTACGTACAAAAGCTTACTTATTACAAATGATAATAATTTTCATAAGGAGAATATAATTAAAGTTTAAAAGTAATTTCACCTGTTGTTTATGTATGAGATGTGCCAGAAATGACTACTATAACTCAATTAAAAATTATAGTTCCTTGGATTTTCCTGAATACAATAAAGTGGAAATTATTTCTAGCAGGATTAAAATTAGTATGATAAAAACACCATGAAATTTTCTTCAGTGTCTCAATTTACAAATAGTTTGAATATAGGGGCTCCAAACTGGGCTTAATAGTAAAACACCTGCCTACCCTGTTTGAGGCCCAAGAGTCCATACTCCGAATGACAACAAAAAGAATACATTTTCCCTTCATTAGAGTATTTGAATTTATCCTCAAATCTTAAGAGGACAAGTTCAGATTCTGTGTGTTTCTTATTATGTGTATAAAAACCCTTTAAAGTTTAAAACAACAGGTATGGTAGTAACTCTGATGTTAATCCACAATTGGTAATGGGTTAAGTGTAACACCAAGATTCCTTTCTCACTATAACAGAAGACAAAAATCCCATTAAAAGGATATGGGGGGGGCGATCCAAGTTCTGTTGGTCTGAGTAGAATTGTGTAAATATGTAGCTAGAAGTCACATTGCTAGAATTTAAGTCCAGTAATCAAAAAACAAAAAACAAAAACAAAACAAAAAACAAAAACAAAAAAACCCAAAACTGTCAGGCAGTGTTGGTGCACATCTTTAAATTCCAGTCCTTGGGAAGCAGAGGCAGGCAGATCTCTTGAGTTCGAGGCCAGCCTGGTCTACAAAGAGAATTCCAGGACAGTTAGACCTACACAGAGAAATCCTGTCTTCAAAAAAACCACAAAAAAAGCTTAAAAAGGAACCTACTTATTTCACTGGAGGGAAATCATTAAGCCTCAAGAGGAGGAGGTAGACCCATCAGATTTAACAGCTACAGAGAAACAGGAAAGTTGAGTCTCCCCTGAAAAAGACTAAGTTACAATCCATGTAAACCTAGGGTAAGGTCACAAATGCCTAAGGAGTACTTGTTTATTTCATGTGCTCCTCTAATCACACTGGTCCTAGATGGTGTGGGTGTCCTCCTTCTTCCTTTATAGTACTTCTTTTTACTGTATCTATGTCCTTTTTGAATGACTGACTCATTTTCTCAAGCATTTCTCATTTTCTGCTTAGGTTGTCAATATGACAATATATACTTCATCTTTTCTACTTTTCCTACTTCTGATACTTCAATAAATCCTATTTATTCCACTTCCTTCTGTGTTCTCCTTTATCTCATAAAACAGTTCTTGACACATCTATTTATCTTCTCACACAAGATACCACATTTTCTATTACTATTGAACTGGATACTGCTTCTTCCAAATAAGGTTTAAGTCCTTTCACTGCCACAGATTTGCCTAATGCGTCCACCCATCACACTACACTGACTTGACACTAAATCAATATACTTTCTTTTTATGTGTAAAACCTGTCTCCTTGACTTTGCTTAATGACAGAGTGATCACACAGACATGTTATTTAATACTTTGAGTCTCAAAGTGTGTGTGTGTGTGTGTGTGTAGGAGAAAGAGAGAGATTACAACAATACATCCTGCATATTAGAAAGGACGTCTATTAGAATGAAAAACATGATCAGAAAACTACAGTGTGAGCTAAGTGCTATTACAGTAATAATCAGAGATAAGACTCCCTATCACGGCCTTTAGGAGAGGGAAGTTAAGAAAAGTCTCCAGGGCAGAATCCCTGCGACCCAGAGAGAAATGGATAGAGTGCTACTGAGAATAATGAGAAACAGAAAAATGAAGCTGAGCTTTCCATACGGTCTCATCTGTAATTAGCTGAAAGGTGGTAGCGGAACTTTCAAGTAGGCTAGGGCTAGTATAGCTCAGTGGTAGGCTGTTTGCTTAGCTTTTGTGAGGTTCCAGATTCACAACCTAGCAACCTAACAGATGGGGGTGTAAACACAGGGTCTTAAAGCCTCTGAAGGTAGTCAGGCATAAAATACATTTAGCAAGCTTTTAACCCTTATTCCTCCAAATCCCAGCCCCTATCCTCCAAAACCCATATATCACATTAAAAGCACAAAACAACCCACTCCAACCACTTGCTTGAAAATATACGTACAGAAAATGAAATGTAAGTGTTTCATAACAAAGATAGTCAGAAAGATAAAAGAATTTCCACCAAGGTACTGAACTCTTGTCTATTAGGTTAGCTACTATTTTTCAAACTTTTATATTTAAAGAGAGAAAAAACAATTGGCTGGTGACGTGGCTCAGGAAGTAAAAGGCACTTGCCAAGCCTGAGGCCATGACTTCCACTGATGAACTGACAAAGTTGTCCTCTAACCTCTACAAGCGTTCTGGGACATGTACCTGCTCCTCCCCCATCACACACAGAGACACAAACAAACTAAAAATCAAGTAAGTAAAATAAATAAAAGGTTTTTTTAAAGGACACCTGGTTGTGATGGCACACACCACATGGCTAAATTCAATAAAACAAGTGACAGCTCATGCTGGTGAAGACATGGAGTAAGGGGAGCAAGCATGAGGCAGAGGCAGGTGGAACTCTAGGAGCTCAAGGAGAACCTGATCTATATAGTAAGTTCCAGGCCACCTAAGGCTATATATAGTGTGACCCTGTCTCAGAAAATTTTTAGAAAAGAATAGAAACCAGGTATGGTAATATGCTTATAAGCCCAGCACTCAAGAGCCTGAGGCAAATAAAATCTCGACTGAGTACAGCCTGGGCTATACAGAGTAAGATCTTGCCTTAAAAAAAGAAAATAGCCGGGCGGTGGTGGCGCACGCCTTTAATCCCAGCACTCGGGAGGCAGAGCCAGGCGGATCTCTGTGAGTTCGAGGCCAGCCTGGTCTCCAAAGCGAGTTCCAGGAAAGGCGCAAAGCTACACAGAGAAACCCTGTCTCGAAAAACCAAAAAAAAAAAAAAAGAAAAAAAAAAGAAAATATATTGCAGAAATTCAGTAACGTATAGCAATAAAATGCAAATTATCTTTTACATCTGGTAAAAAAAGGGTAAGACAATATATTACACATAGAAGAAAGTACTAAGAATTTGCAGGAAGGAAATCAACCATAAAAATAAAATTTAAATTGTTTGTTTTATCCTTTTTGTATTGTTGTGTAAGTTCCCCCATTCCGCGCTGCAGGAAGCTCCTTAAGCAGGAAGGTAAACAACTCAAAATAGCTTCAGGAAGTCCCTGAAACTCACTGATTTATTAGGCCCCTCCCTGACAAAGTGTGTAATAAAAGCTGAGTCTAAGACAGGAGGAAGCTGGGCTGCAAAGAAAACTCTGAGACCAGACCAGTTGCCTGGAAGGGGTTTAGACCAACGGAGGTATCTGGTAAGGACACTGTCCAACCAGCTGAGCTGCTTGAAGGCTGTGAAGTGTGCTTTAGGCTCCCAGCTTTGTGAGCTGTCTTTCACCCATGCTGGGGTGGGCTTTGGTGATGCAGCGGTCTTTGAGACATTTCTGCTCCTGTAAGTAATCCCTCACCCATACTTCCGTAAGTAAACTCAGTAAAACTCATTGGTTCACCAAGCAGGACTTTGGTGGTATCCATACTTTGTTCTATCATGAGTTCCCTATCTGGGGTGAGTAGACCTTATGTACTGTGGCTTTCTGGGAAAAGTTTTGTCACACAACATCATGTAGCAAACAGTGCTTCAATGAGATCAAAGATTATCAAGGACCTTCATTTTGTGACTGAACATTTTAAAAATGATCAGTGACAGTACTAACGATTCATTAAAAGAAGGAGAAATAAGCTAGGCAGTGGTGACACATGCTTTTGATCCCAGCAAGAGAGGCAGGAAGATCTCTGCCAGTTGAGGCCAACCTAGTCTACAGAGTGAGCTCCAGGACATCCAAGGCTACAAAGGGAAACCCTGTCCTGAAAAACAAACAAAAAAGCCCTCAGAGAAATATGTAACAGAGTTATAATCTTGTAAGTCAGGTGTGGTGCTCATGCTGGTAATCATACACTGAAGCAAGAAGACAGTCATGAGTTCAAGATCATAGTGGGCTACAGTGTTCTATGTCAATCTGGGTTAGAGGGAGTCCCTATCTCAAAAAAATCCAAACAGGGCTGGAGAGATGGCTCAGTGGTTAAGAGCACTTGTTGCTCTTGCAGAGAATCCAGATTCCATTCTTAGCACTCACAAGGCAGCTCACAACTATCTGTAACTCCAGTTGCAAGGGGAACTAATGCCTGCTTCTGGCCTCCAAGGACACTGTAGACATGTGGTATACAGACAAACATGCAGGCAAAATACCCACATATATTAAATTAAAATAAACCTTAAAACACAACAAAATAAACGTGAACAGGTGACAGCAGTTAAACCTTGAGAAACCAATAGCTAGTTATCAAAACTGTAAGGAATTTTAACTTTTCTCCTATAACCATCGACTGCTTAAGTAACCACATTTTACAATTGATGAAAATCTATACTGAGAGAGATGCATAATTTGCCTCCGGTCTTGTGGTCATCCATCTACACAATGGAAAGGAACATTATTTAAGATATATTTAACAAAAAGTTCACTAGAATTCTCATTATTTTCAGATAAAATAACCTTCATCAGAGATGAAATATAGTCAAACAGTAAGACCCTAAACTAAGAGTGGAATTCTGTCTCAAACAACAACCAATCTTTATTCAAAGACAGACTGATCAACCCAAATTAGTGCATTTAAACATAGTCCTATTTATAATCAACCAAGATAAAACAAGCAAACAAAAATCCCACTCAAAGTATGAAGCACAGCTTCACTCTCAATGGATTTCAAGATTGTTAAGAAAGGTAATTTTAAAATTCAGGAGCAATTATCATTTAAAGTATCATTTTAAAAGACAATAGGCCAGGCACATGTTAATCCTAGTATTTGGAAGGCAGAGGCAGGTGGATTTCAGTGAGGCCAGCCTGGTCTACATAATGAGTACCAGGACAGCTACGTGTTTTTCCATAGTGAGGTCCTGTCTCAAAAATTAAAAAAGTAAAAAGCTGGGTGTGGTGGTGCACACCTTAATCCCAATCAGCTAACTCTACATTAGTGAGTTGAGTTCTAGGGACCCTTTCTTAAAAAGAAAAATAAGCCGGGCGGTGGTGGTGCATGCCTTTAATCCCAGCACTTGGGAGGCAGAGACAGGCGGATCTGTGAGTTTGAGACCAGCCTGGTCTACAAAGGTTCCAGGACAGGCTCCAAAGCTAGAGAAACCCTCAAGAAACCAAAACTAAATAAATAAATAAATTAGAAAAAAATAAGTAAAAATATAAAGACAGTATGTGCTTATTGAAATGCAATGGGAACAATGTGTTCTTTTCTAAAATTAAACTATCTCAAAATAATCTCAAAGGAACATTTACAAAACAAAAACTTAAAAATTTTGTTTTGAGACAAGGTCTTCCTATATAAACCAGTCTTCCTTGAACTCAAAATCCTTCTGTCTTAGGCTCTCAAGTACTGAGATTACAGGCATGTCCTAATATAACTAGGCACTTGTGACTTTAGGACAAAGAAATACAACAGCAAGTAAAACTAAACACAAAAAAGCAAAAGTAAACACAATAAAACTTATGCATGTTCTTTAAACATGCAAGAATTAACAAAAATCAACGTATCAAGAGAGATACTGACAAATCAAAAACTTAAGAGAAAATATTTAAGGTGAATAGGGCTCTTTAATAGCTACAATCAATATGTTATAAATTACACTGGCTGTGCACCAGCATACTCAAATAAAGACTACATACACAAATGGAAACACAGAGCAGCTGTTCCAATAGTGGTGTGTTTTTGTTTGTTTTTGCTAAAACTGCTTTGAACACTGCTGTACAGTATATAACACTGTGGTGTTATTAGTGAAACAGCACAGTAACAGAAGATCATCTTGCAGGCAGTAGTGAGTGGCATATGCCTTTAACCCCAGCATTCGGGAGGCGGAGCCAGGCGGATCTCTGTGAGTTCCAAGGCCAGCCTGGTCTACAGAGCGAGATCCAGGACAGGCACCAAAACAACAGAGAAACCCTGTCTCAAAAATAAAAACCAAAACCAAAAAAAAAAAAAAAAAAAAAGAATTAAACATCTTAGTTCGACTTCCCCTGTTCAGCCAATAAGTAACTTTGGGTGGGTTATTTAAATTCTCCCCCTGCCTCCCGCTCCGATTTTTAAACTTTTTCTAGACAGGGTTTCTTTGTATAACAGCCATGGCTGTCCTAGAACTCAATCTGTAGACCAGGCTGGCCTCAAACTCACAAAGATCCGCCTGCCTTAAAGGTGTGGGCCCTCGCCACCATCACCACCACCTGGTGGGTTACTTAAAATTCTGAGACTCAGTTTCCTTGTTGATATAGTGGGGATAAGAATACTTTATATATTTAATAGTTTCTGTAATGCTTTAAATGAACTATTAGAAAGTGGATCTGCTTTGCAGGTTTATCATACACAGTAGGTGGACATCATAGACTCTTAATTCTACTTTTGTTATTTATAATTCAGGAGGCATGTCTATCTATAATGTGCCAAAAGAACCAAATGAGGTGGACTTATCCTTTAGTAACAGCTTAGGATTCCCACCAGCTGACATTTCTATAGCATCACTACCTGCTGATTACTGTTCTGTGTTGTGCATGTACTGACTCATTTCATTTTCATAGCAACAGAAACCAGTGATCTCAATTTAACTTATTACAGTAAAAAAAAAAAAAAGGTATACTGTAATTTGGAAAAAAATGTGATTATTACTAACATCAGCTCAATTTATATATCGTAGTGCTTCATTAAGGTGTTGTTTTGTTTTGTTTTACAAACATCTTGTTTGATTATTAGCAACCCAGAAAGGAAGACAAGGCAGGTAGTAGTTTGCCTGTTTTATAGAGGAGGAAACAAAAGTTGAGGGTGTTTATTGTTTTGCCCAAGATTAGAAAGGCAGAAGTAGTCAAAATTAAGTCCCAAATGTGTCCTCTAACTCCTAACCCAGAGTTTAGTCATCAACATACTCACTCTATAACTAAAATACAAAAACTACAAATGCTGACATATTGAACCAACATAATTTCTTACAAGGTTTACTAAACACAAACACTCTAAAATAGTCCATGTAATCAGAAGTATTTTTAAATGCCAAATGGCTGATGCTGTAAGGAAAAACAGCTTCCTGAATTAGTTGTGTCAAAATTGCAGTGAGGAAAACTCTCTTGGCAAATCAGGAAAAACAAACATGAACCTCAGGTTAAGGTATTGAGCTATTATAGCTGCTGCTCATTTCTGGAGTAGACAGGGAGATGAAACAAGCTCAAGAAAAAAAGTACAAAATGCTACTATTAAGAAAGAATGGCCGGGCGGTGGTGGCGTAGCCGGGCGGTGGTGGCGTAGCCGGGCGGTGGTGGCGCACGCCTTTAATCCCAGCACTCGGGAGGCAGAGCCAGGCGGATCTCTGTGAGTTCGAGGCCAGCCTGGGCTACCAAGTGAGTTCCAGGAAAGGCGCAAAGCTACACAGAGAAACCCTGTCTCGAAAAACCAAAAAAAAAAAAAAAAAAGAAAGAATGAAGCCGGGCGGTGGTGGAGCACGCCTTTAATCCCAGCACTCGGGAGGCAGAGGCAGGCGGACTTTTGTGAGTTCAAGGCCAGCCTGGTCTACAGAGGGAGATACAGGAAAGGCACAAAGCTACACAGAGAAACCCTGTCTCGAAAAACCAAAAAAAAAAAAAAAAAGAAAAAAAAAGAAAGAAAGAATGAAGCCGGGCGGTGGTGGCGCACGCCTTTAATCCCAGCACTCGGGAGGCAGAGGCAGGCAGATCTTTGTGAGTTCGAGGCCAGCATGGTCTACAGAGCGAGATCCAGGAGCAAAGCTACACAGAGAAACCCTGTCTCGAAAAATAAAAAAAAAAATTAAAAAGAAAGAAAGAATGAATGAATGAGGGGCTGGAGAAATGGCTCAGCGGTTAAGAGCATTGACTGCTCTTCCAGAGGTCCTGAATTCAATTCCCAGAAACCACATGGTGGCTCCCAACCATCTATAATGAGATCTGGTGCCCTCTTCTGGCCTGCAGTCATACATGCAGGCAGAACACAGGGAAGGAAGGAAGGAGGGAGGGAGGGAGGGAGGGAGGGAGGGAGGAAGGAAGGAAGGGAAGGAAGGGAAGGGAAGGAAGGGAAGGAAGGAAGGAAGGAAGGAAGGAAGGAAGAAAAAGAAAAAAAGGAAGAAAGAAAGAGTCCCAGGCAGTGGTAGCACACACCTTTAATCCCAGCACTTGGGAGGCAGAGGCAGGAAGAGTTCCAGGCCAGCCTGGTCTACAGAGCAAGATCCAGGAAAGGCACAAAGCTACACAGAGAAACCCTGTCTCGAGGAAAAAAAAAAGATAAAACAAATCGGGCAGGGCCAAGGAGATGGATAGCTCATCAGGTAAAGGTGCTTGCCACCAAACCTGACAACCTGAGTCTGATACCTAGGACACACATGGAGGAAGATATCCTCTGATTTCTACGTGGTTTGTGTGACGAAAATATGAACTAACACCCACACTAATCTCTCTCATACACCCAGGCAGAATGGCAAGATGGCTCAGCAGGTACAAGGCACTTAAGCATCAAGCCTAATGACTTGCATTCAATCCCTGGGACAAACAGGGTGGAAGGAAAGAACTGACTCTTATAAGTTGTCCTCTGACCTCCACACATGGCTTGCCTACACACATATACACACAGAACAAATGCAACTTTTTAAGAAAGAATAAGGCAGAACAAAGGATTGTGAGAATGTGAAGAGGTGCATGTCTTGAGGCCTTTCCTATAGGTGGGTAACAGAACTAAGCAAGAATGGCACAACAGAAATGACATCCCACGGGAAAAAAAAACGTTCTAGGATCCATGCTATAGCATTCTACTCTAGCTCCTATCTTTATTATATCAAAATATAACTGCGTCCTTATCAGAACTGTTCAATTATGTATTCCCAGTTTAAGTAAGACTTATGCTGTGATCATAAAATAGAAGGCACCAATAAACTAGTAGGGAACAAAAAAGTCTACTAAGGAACAAATTTCAGAAAGTTCAAACACAAGGAACTGGAGAAATGGATCAGCAGTTAAGAGCACTCTTCCATGACTCAAGTTCGATTCCTAGCACCCATGTCAGGCGGCTCACAACCATTTATAATTCCAGCTCTAGAGGCATCCTAAGCCTTTGGCCTCCCACATGCTCGCTCATGTGCATACTCACACACTCATGTGCATACACACATACACACACACAAATCTTTAAAGAAGAAAATACAAATGCATCCCATCTTGACTTCTGTTAGTCAAATCTGGTTTTCCACACTAATACATACCTGGTAGAGTTCTTCTAAATTGTACTTAATTGAAGTACTATTCTGAATAGCTTCCACTGCTTCTTTTAGCTTCTGCCATGTCTCATCTGTATAGTTTTCTGGTAATTTAGGCTTATCTAAATAATATGCAAAAAAACATTAGAAAAATATTCAGGATACAGGAACTAAAGAACCATAAAATAGAACAGTATTGCTATTTTAGGATCTTTATTATACCTTAATATTAAAGGTAACATGGTATTTAAAAGTCCAGTATAAACAAAATTTAAGATGCCAAAATACTATTAAGTCATTTTGACTCACCTATGAAAATTGAAGGTAAAGGTTTTTTCTCCTATTGATTGTATTGCTTCAAAAATAAAAATTCAAGAATGACAGATAAAAATAGCAGTCCTGATCTTGTTTTTAGCATGTGTAAACCGAAGTTGACATGAATCTTGTAGAGAAGATTTAAAACACCGAGTATGTACTATGTGAAAAGTATCTTAGAAACTTCTTAGAAATCATCCCCACAATAAAATACCCACAGTGACTATTAACACCTCTATTTTACAACTGAAGAAACTGAACCTGGAACTTATTTGGTAAGCTTGCCCAAGGTCACCATAGCTAGTCAATGGCAAAGCTGGGATTCCAATCCAGGTCTGTGACTCCCTAATGTATGCAGCAATCACAGAAATGGAGAACATTTCTTAGTTTTAAAGGAACAGAATGAAAATTTAAAAACAAACTAACACCCAAATGACTCCAGAATCTATGCAGCATTTTCAAACTGGAAAGAAATCTTAATCTAGACTTTAAACTTCATTCACCAGCACTTAAGTGAAACAAATTAAAGATTTCAAATGCCTTAATGCCTTCAGGAGAAAGAAAAATAAAGTTTCTGAAATCAATTTTCAAATGCAATTAGGATCACAGCTCATTTCTTGAAAACTCCTTCCCTATTCAATAAATCATTCATCTGTAAGTGAAGTAATGAATGAATTTGTAAATACGGTTCATATTCACTTTAGAAAGCTCTACTAGTAAATCAGAAAGAATGTTAACTCTCGAGAGTCTGGGGATGGAAAGAGGGTCATATAAAAAAAGAAAGGGTTAAAAACAGACAAAACTATAAGGACCCTTGTGAGACAAATAGCACATTCCCAACACAAGCACAGAGTAACCAGTTCTCCTCACTTTCTGGTACAAGCTGTCCTAAGTTCATTCATTTACTTCCCCACCTTTAATAAACATTCTAGCATCTATTACCTGCTAACCAAGGATGGTGAAAAAAATAAGAACAACAGAAACACATTCAACAGACAAGAACTTAGCTCAGATACATTTTATATGCTGAGTTTCTATTTTCATTGGTGCATACATCACACTCCCAATCAGTAATCTCAAACACAGTATGCGTAAATTTTCTAATAGCTGCAGGTCAGTACTTTAAATGCCCATTTTAGTGAGGAAAAAAATGTAGTCAACTGTTTCTATCTTTAGACTACTGATAGAGTCACTAGTTCTGTGTATACACAGCAGTTTTCATTTTCAGACTTTACATTTGGGAAGAAATGTAGAAAAAAACAACCAAAAAATTTTTCACCAAATACTCCTTCCACAGAGAGTTTCACAAATACAGTACTCTACACTAAGAGCCTAACTATAAATCTCATTTAAACATAAAACTATCAACCTCAGTATCCACATTTTTAGGGACTGGAGTATGTGTGGAGTATAAAAATTAAAATCTCAGTAGTGCCAAGACTCGCTATGCACCTGAAATGTACCTCTTTAGAAGACAAGTTTCTCACCTGTAAAATCCGGATCAATCATACCGTCAATGTTTTAAGGAACAACAGATTTGATCTAATAAGTTGAGACAGACCTCAAAAACATTGCACGGAAACACTAAAGAGAGTGCTTCAGAGCAAGGACACAAACACCCCCCAGGAAAAGAACCCTCCACCAAAAATTGGACCTCTCTTGCACTCATTGATTATGCATAAATCGTTAGGCGATCTCTATACTGTTTAATATATTAACATAAACAGCGCACGTGACCGCTCAAGTGTTAAATTCTTAGTAGGTGATTATGGATTTTGGCCTTGGTTACCTTTAAAGTTCTTGATCACTAACTTCTTAGCAGAACCAGGCTTGCTGTTAGCAAAGCTAGAGACCGTGGTAGATGATTTAGCCAGGCCGTTTGCATGGTGCACTGAAGCCACAGAAGAAATTAATATACTCTTATTTTTAAGTTGCTGCTGCTGTGAGGTTGCAGCAGTTGGCGAAGATGAGGAGGATGAGGAGGAAGATTCCTCAGCCATTTTCGCATCAAACCCTACAAACTCCAGGGTGTCTTCAAAACGCAGCTTCTTCTGTATCGGTACGTGGCTGGAAGTGGCCACAGGCACCCCGAGGCAAAAGGACGAGGTTGATGGGGACGCCGAATCTCTAGGTTGTGGAGGGGTGGAAGAGGAAGAGGTGGAATCAAAGTCTTCTCTCTCGTTACTACTGCTACTGCTGCTACTGCTGCTGCTGTTTAACTTTCTCTTCTTGGCAGAGGTGGGCGGAGTGGTGCTGGTATTACCATCAGTGGCAGATCTGACCTCCTGAGCAGCAGCAGAAGCAGCAGAGGGATTGGGGGAAGAAAAACCTGTTGGAAACATGAAAATAGCGGGGTCAACGGGCAGAGGAGCATCAAAAACCTACGTTTATGTGCCTGCGTGCGTGTAGGAGAGGTGGCAATGCTGGAGGGGGAAGGGAAGAAAGAGAGGAGAAACACAGAGGACGAGAAGGAAAGTGGGGGGGGCACACCGGGGGGGAACGGGAGGGCTTGGGAAGGCAGATAGGCTGACACCCGCAGTGAGAACCTGGCGGGGGGGAAGCAAAGGAGGCAGACAGGTAAACGGCCCGTGCCGTTCCCCCCTCCCCTGCTTTTCGTCCTCTCTCCCCCACTTTCTGCTGGAGAGACTCAGGGAGCCAGTGAAGCTTGCAGCTCCTCCTCCTTTTCTCCCTCTCTCAGGGAGGGGAGACGCAGGACTGGAGGGGGGAGGGGGAGCGAGCCGAGGCTTGTTATTGTCAATAGCACAAGAGGCTAAAGATGGCGCCACTTCCGGTCACGCGGCGCCCGCGGAGAGGCGGCGTCACCCTCGCGGAGTGGGGGGTGGAGAGGAGGACCCGAGCGGCCCGGGAGGCGGGGGCGCCGGCTCTCCGCGGGGCGACTGAAGCGCCGGGGACGCTCGCTCCGGGCAGCTCGCTGGAGCTCCCGCTCCCGCACCCCTTCCCTGCCAGCACCCTCCTCACCGGGCTCCCTCAGCGCCAGTCACCCCTTCCTTCTCCGTCCCGCGGGGAGCTTCGCGCCACAGCGTCCTTACCGGAAGTGCCTGGGCAGACACTTTTCATAGCTCCCAGATCCTGAAGACCCCGGGTCCGACGGACTTGAGGTGGGGGGGGTGGGGGAGGGAACACGGGGGGTAAAAGAGGTGGATAGGGAGGACGGGGCGGGCCGTGGCGACGCCTTCGGCGCTCTTGATTGGAGGTTTCTGAACCTGAGGAGGGCGGGGAGACAGGGTTGGGGGGGCGGGAGAAGAAGCGGGAAGCCTCCCGTGAGGCAGAGGAGGTGGTGCGTGCTAGGGGCGGGGTGAGCTAGCTGGGAAAAGAAGAGGGTGGGAAGAAAAAAGTAAGTGGAAGGGAAACTTTGAAAGAGGAACAGGGCGAGCGGAGGAGTTGCGAGGCCACGGGAGTAACCCGAAGTAAGAGCAAAACCTAAGCATACCTACTGAGAAAGAGGCGGATCACTATGCCCAGAGAATGGAGAAAGCTTAGCTGGGAGGAAAGTTTTTGACTCGGTGCAGCAACACATTTTTGTCCCTGACACGACATCCCCCAGGCCCGCATTCTGATTGTCTCAATGATAACAGCTGTAATTCCTGTTACCTTCTACCATGAGCATTTTCTAAGATGGCTGGCGAGAGCAGGGGTACATTCTAAGGCCACGTAACAGGTCCACCTAGCACGATTTCAGGGTCCGCCCGACCTCTCACCCTATCAGTCAGTAACTCCGGTAATTTGTTGACCAAACAAAGCTAAGACCTACTTCCTCCATTTACCAACTCGCAGTTTAGACGCAGTATTGGCAAAAATCTGTTTCCTTCCCAGTGTGGTCCACGAGACCCAAGTTTTACATGTGATTATTGGCAAGAAAAAAACCCTCGAAATTTGGTTAAATTACCAACAATAAACCTTGTAAAGTCTCTCTTGGGACTTTTTACTTAATCTAGGGGGCATTTTTAGCCAGTGCACTGGTAAATACCTGTCATTCCAGCACTCTGGAGGCCGAGGCTGGAGTAGAGCTAGTTTGAGGCCAGGCTGGGCTGCACAGACTGAAAAATAAAAAAAAAAGTTAATCTTCAGGTATTCTCAGCAGGAGAGACAAACTCAAAGAAAACTACAATTGCCAGCATATTATTTCTGCATCATAACTACAAAAACAGTAAACAGCTTATATGGAAAGAGTTCACATGCCAGATACTACCCCAGAAACCTACCTTTGAAAAAGCCTCAAAACAAATTTCCCTAATATTATTGGTTTTTTTTTTCTAGAGGTCTAGAAATTACTGTGGGGAAAAGCACCAATGTGGAATAGTCAGGACAAGATAAACAATGTTTATTTATGCTGGGTCTCAAAATGGGAGTTGGCAAGAGGAGAGAGAGAGAAATATTTCTCAGCTGTGAAAGGTTTTTGTTTATCTAGTGTAGTTTGCAATCAGACTAGAAGGTAGGATGTCAGGTTGAAATATGGAAAATGAAGATTGAAAAGTACCCAGGACCACCGTGTGGTTCTACTTGTTTGTAATCTCAGTATTTTGGAAGAAGAGGCAAAAGGCTTGCCAGTTTGAGTAGCCTAGGCTACATAACAAGACCCTATGCAAAAAAAAAATGTCTGGTACACCAAACATTTGGTCTACCATCTAGGAAATGGTAGACAGCAAGGCTAAGCAAGCTAGGCTTTCATATGTAGAGAACTGACAGGCTTGTGGTTAGAGTAAAAGCAGCTTTGAATGGTAAGAACGCTGAAGATAAATCACCTTTCTAACAATAAGGCCACACTCCTTTGTGTCCGGAAAAGCCCTTAACATGCAAATTCTCCAGGAAAGTTGCCCTCTTAAACTGAGTATGAGAGCTCACATTTGTATTCCCAGCACTAGAGAGGCTGAGGCAGGAGGATTGCCTTGAGTTCAAGCCCAGACTGGACTGAAGAGACCCTAGCTCAATAAAAGGGTTTGCCCCTTTGTGCTAGTGGTTGTCAGCGGAAAAGCTCTAATGGAATTTAGGCCCCAGGGCCAGGAGAGAAGAAAAACAGCTGGCCTGCGGTGGGACTGGGGCAAAGGATCTGGGTTTCATATAGCAGCCTCCAGTGCTTTAATTGCCACTCTTTCCCCAGCAACCAGTAACAGCCAGCAGGACCTCAGGGAGGAGAGACGTCTCCAGAATCTCCAGAGCCCCACCCAGCAGCTGTGGACACAGGCTGTCTCTCAGGCCAGACATGAACATATTTGGTAGCTCAGGTAAACTGTATTTCAGTTCTCCTGCCTCAGGCTCCCAGGCAGCTTATATGTTGAATGACATACTTGTGGAAAGTCTCCAAGAAACGTCCCTGAGTTTTATGGGAAAAAATAATAACTTTTTCCTTAAGTAACTAATAATTATCTTTCTTTCGGCATCTTATAATCTAATGTTGTGTCAGGCCAACCCTCCCTCCCATATTTAGCATATCTTAATAAGGATATGGAATTTTAATAATTTTTTTCTTAAGTGTACATTTTGTTACACAAATCAAGTTAAATAGCACCGTGTCATGAGAGGACTGGGTTTTAGTCTTAGACCCTCAGACCAATTTTTGTTGTTGTTGTTTTGAGACAGGGTTTCTCTGTGTAGTCCTGGCTGTCCTGGAATTTGCTCTGTATACCAGGCTGGCCTTGAACTCTCAGAGATCTGCCTGCCTCTGACTTCCGAGTGCTGAGTTTAAAGGCATGCCTGCCCTCCCCCCGTTTTTGGCTCAGACCAATTTTAAGAAGAGAAAAAAATATGTTATATGAAATGTCTTTTTTTAGCCGGGCAGTGGTGGCACACGCTTTTAATCCCAGCACTCGGGAGGCAGAGGCAGGTGAAGTTACACAGCGAAACCCTGTCTCGAAAAAACCAAAAAACAAAAAAAAGTAGAAAAAAAAAAGAAATGTCTTTTTTTTTTTTAATCAAAACTCAGCTAGCTGGGGCTAGCTAACGTATTTTATATACACTCAAACATTTGCCAAACAGAATTAAAACACACTTTCAACATTAAAGTACATTTTCTTTCTTTAAAAAAAAAAATGATCCAGTGTATTTTTTTAAGATTTATTTTATGTGCATGTGTTTTGCCTGCATGTATGTCTGTCTGTGTTAGGGTGACAGACCCCCCCCTAGAAATGGAGTTACAGACAGTTGTGAGCTGCCATGGGGGTGCTGGGAATTGAACCTTGGTCCTCTGGAAGACCAGCCAGTGCCCTTAACCACTGAGCCATCTCTCCAGCCCCTAAAGTTTATTTTTCTTAGGGTACATGCCTCTAATCAAAGCACTTGGGAGGCAGAGGCAGGTGGATCTCTGTGTGTTCAAGGACAGCCTGGTCTACACAGTGAGTTCTAGGCTACCCAGGCATTAATGTGAAATACTCCATCTTGCTTTGGGTTATGGGGAGACCAGGGAGATCTGCTTTGCCATGGACATCAGATCATGTGGACCTCCTCAGCCCCTCTCCATTCTCAGGCCTCTGAATAAAATGGTTTGATACCGCCAAATGTTTTTAATAAATATTTATCAGTATGTATGTGCACCTGAGTATGTGCATGTGTACCACATGTGTGCAAGAGCCTGCTGATGTCAGAATATGGCATCAAATCCCCCGTGACTGCAGTTACAGATGGTTGTGAGCCTCCACGTAGGTGCTAGGGATCAAACTTAGGTATTCTTAACTCACTAAGCCATCTCTCCAGCTCCCCAAAATACATTTTAAGGTTGAATTCACTAAACCCACAATAATCAAGATGTGTACATTGGAAAAACATACAAATATGGCCACTATCAGACAAAATCAGATTGGGCACTTAAAAATGTGTTCCACATATAGAAGAATCTTTTATCTTGTAAGTTCAACTCATTACCTCAAAAACATTCATTATACTGTGCAGTGTGCACTTATTATAGTGAGGTGCAGTTATTATTGATATTCTTTTAAGCAACCTTTATAAAAGTAACTATATGCATATAGGAAAAATATAAACAAAGACTATTTTTCTACTGTTCATTCCCTTATTTCTGTAATATGTACACACACACACACAATTTTGTTGGTTTTTCGTTTGGTTGATTTGTTTTTGTGAGATGAGATGGTTTCACATTGGAACCTAGACTAGTCTTGAACTCAGCCCTTTGCCAACCTCAGCCTCCTAGAGGCTGGGTTTATAGATGTGAACCACCTCACCTGGCTGTTTCCCTTTTTTGATCATGGAGATTCCCCAGGGTACTTGGTTTTAGGCCCTCTCAGATAAATCATACTTGCTATCAGACAGACACTTGTGGTAGTTGTATTTATTATACACTGTGTGGGATTTTCCTTCAAAATAAAAGATTGCTTGTTCAGGAGATGTTGAATGTCCCTAAAGCAAACATTATGAATATGTGAGACACAGGAAACTGTTTAGGGCTATGATGATTTGTATTGCTGTCTTATCCTATACTCCCACAGTTTCAGAGTTAAGAATTCAAGAGTCAAGCTGGATGCTAGTGATTATAACTAAGGTCTCATGCCAAATGTTTGTGCGCTGTACCACTCACTGAGTTACCCAGCCTGAAAGATACCTCATTATCCTGCAAAGTTCAAGGGCTTGCATGGCAACTGTATGAAGCTCTGTGGGATAGAAGAGTAAGCATCATAAAATTGATGTTTTGTGGTTATAAACATTAAAATATAAATTTCTACCCCAAAAAAGATCTGTGAGTCAGGAGGATCGTGTGATTGAGGCCAGTCTAGGCTATACAGGCCTCTGTCTCAAAAGACACAGGTGTAGAGGTCAACACTTGGAGTTCCATCATTTGGAAACCAGAGGCAGAAGAATGAGGAGTCCAAAGCCAACCTCAGCAATATAGCAAATTCCAAGTCATCTTGGGCTATGTGATATACCCTGTCCTAAAACAAGAACCATGAAAATAAAAAGGACAGATAATTAAGGACCATAATCCACTATTTAGGTAAAGCCCTTTAGAAGATAAATGTAATGCATATATACAATAAAACCAAGACTGAGCACTTAAACATTTGAACCTTTAGCCTCTCAACATCAGTCAAGGCTGTGGCCGGTTGGAAAGGCAGATTTATAAACTGAAAGAACCAGGCCATTCTCCCTGAGAAGTTGATGGTGGGGAACTAGACCAGCCACAGATTAATTCTCCCTATGGTGATGCCAAGCATTCACTTAGTATGGAGTTGCTGGGCCCCATTTATACTTCTCCTCACTTCATCAATGAGTCTCACAATTCCCCACCCCCTGCTTTAATGTTTGCTATTATAATGGGTTCAGGGTTTTTGTCTCACAAGCAAGGCCAGTTTAAATTTAAATCAGCTATTCCCTCTGACTTCACAATAGAATCACCTAGGGAGGTTTGGGTGGGTGGGGGGGGGGGCGGCTTCTATTGTTTTTTAAATCTTGGGCTGGTAGAGCACTTGCCTGGCATGTCTGAAGCCCTAGGTTTCATTCCCAGTAGCACAAAAGAAATGTTCTGTCATGATGGACTCTGAACCAGAACAAACCCTCCTTCCTTCCTTAAGCTGCTTTTGTTGGTTTTTGTTTTGTGTGTGTGTGTGTGTGTGTGTGTGTGTGTGTGTGTGTGTGTGTGTGTGTGTGTTGTCACAGCAATAAGAGCAGTAACTAATATGAAGATCAAGCTTGCATGTAGTTCAAGCCCCTATGAAGAAGGAACATAGCAAGAAATACACATATCAGCCAAGAGTGGTATTTTGTTCTAGACAATCAGTTCATTCCCTGGCTAGACCTTCAGCCAGTGGGAGGGGGAAATCAGCTCCTCCTCCTCCTCCTCCTCCTCCTCCTCCTCCTCCTCCTCCTCCTCCTCCTCCTCCTCCTCCTCCTCTTCCTCCTCCTCCTCCCCCTCCTGGCAAAATCTAGGTAAATGCTGAACAAACAAACCTTGCCTGAGAACCTAATAGAATCTGGTCACAGAGTACACAAAAACAACCCTTGCTCTCAAAAGGTTTTCTGCTAGCCTAGTGGGAGAGGGAGCCAATTACTACCAGGCAGTCATGAAAGGTGCTGACTATGCCTGAGACAGTAAGGGAGACTGGTGGGATGAAGTGGAGAAGAGTCAAAAATGAGCATCAGCATCCAAGAAAGAAATTCAACTGAAAGCATCGGAGCTGGACAGGTAGGAATGAAAGGGAGCCGAGAGCATCAAGGAAGAATATAGGGGACACATTTAAATCCTAGAGGAGAGAGAACACAGCACGAACAAAATATCAGGAGACAGTTATAGGGCAGAACTTTCCATCCTAACTAGATTCTAGAGTACTAAAGAGGGGAAGCAAGGCAACATCTCTGTCACCAATCTGCTAGCAATTCCTAGGCCCTTTAGCACTAATGCTTAGTCATAAACCCTACTTTCTGTTGAAGCTGCGGCCTTACATGAGTTGCAGTGGTTTAGGACTCAAGCTGAGAACTTCAAAGGAGGGAGAGGATAAAACATGCAAAATAGGAGCAAGGGTGGACCTGATAAAACCAGAATACTGTGCTATTAATGTATGAGGAATTCAGGTAAACAAAACCATCCTTTAGAAAACTATGACCAGTGGGCCAACTCCAGCTTTTTGCTGTCTGTGTAAAGTTTTTTGCATCGTGGCCATACTCATTCCTTTGCATATTCTCTGTGGCTGCATTTGTGCTAAAACAGAGTTCAGAGTTTTACTTTGTTGTTTTTGAGACAGGGTTTCTCTGTGTAGCCCTGGCTGCCCTGGAACTCACTCTGTGGATCAGGATGGCCTCTAACTCACAGATCTGAAAAAGAAGGTGATTTAAAGCATGCTAAGGATTTTTTTTTTTATTAGGAATGAACCATTTTAAGGGTTCTATATTTCCATAATATATTACTAACATATCAGTGTGACACATACTTGTAAACACAGTATTTGAGAAGCAGAGGCAGGAGGATATCGTGTGAAGACAGCCTGACATATAGAGTAAGCTCCTGTCTCAAAACAATCAAACACATGTTATATTTAATGTGGAGAAGATCAGAGCTTATTTAAGCACACTGTATTTTCAACAGTTTACAACAACCAAAACACTCTATAATGGATATTCCACAGGATATATTTGAAGTTGAATTTGGTCAAGTGAAAGGTATATTTGAATTTGTGAGAGAGTATCATATAACCCCCTCAGAAATATGTTGGTATATGATTCCATCCTCTGATGACTGCTGATTGGGCCACACAATAGCCAACGCAAAATTTTATTAAACTTAAGTTACAAAATGTCACATGAGTTAATTCTCAGTATAATAACAAAGGCAGAAGTGTCCTCTAGACTGTCCTCCCCTGATCCCAAGTCCCTCTGGGGAAATGCATCCCCACCTTGTTCTCTTGCCATTTTAATCATGCACTCACTGCTTAGACACCTGGTAACAGTCATGTGGCTGTAACTAGGTTTTACTAGTTCACTCACTGTTATCTCCTGAGTTGGAGTCATTGTCTCTTCTTTCTCTAGATCTAGTTGAACGTGATGACATCTTCTCCTTGGGAGCTGTGAGAAAACAGAACTCACTTGTAAGGCAGTTTTAAGAACATCCTCAAATTTGGATAGACTAATCATACTCTCCCCTTTACTGCCTTCCATTACTTGGACTTTTCTTAAGTGCTGGGGATGAACCCCAGGGCCTCCTACATTACTTTTCATATATTTAATTTTCCTCTTGCATTTAAAGCTAATTTGAAGAGTAAAACGTGTTTTATTTTTAATATCTGACATTGGACTTCCAACTCTAGCATGCTGTTTTATTTGGTTGGTTTTTTTGTTTGGGTTTTTTGTTGTTGTTGTTTTTCGAGACAGGGTTTCTCTGTGTAGTTTTGGTGCCTGTTCTGGATCTTGCTCTGCAGTAGACACAGGCTGGCCTCAAAATCACAGAAATCCACCTGGCTCTGCCTC